TAAAAGAACAAATTCCATTACGCACCCGTTTTATTTCATTCTACAAACTAAACGGATTAATTTTAAATACAATGCAACTGTGCTCACTACGAAACTAGTTCATCAATCCCCAATAAATTACATAATGAAAATGTTGCACCAACATCAAAGTATTTGCTACACYATTTCATAATGAAACATTTTCACTATGCACCAGCTTCATGGTATGTCTATTTCATAAATCACTATGCACCAGCTTCATGATATGAAATTTATGAAATCTTTGAACAATGATGAATTACATGAACCTTAATAACATATAAAATTAAATAAAACTGTTTCATCATGAAACAAATTATTCAGCCTCAAGTCAAATATGAAATGAAACTGTTTCACCAACATCAACCCCTTTCATAAATTATTTCGTACTGAAATCTTTGCTCATCAAAAGTGTTGCATTATCATTAATTCCATTTTCAATATAATGAAACTGTTTCACTATTATATATTGAATCATTTATAAAATGAAAAAATRTATTACGAAAATGAAACTGTTTCATTTTACTAAACCCATTTCACGAATCTTGCATCTCTTAGAATATGATTTTTTTTTTACATCATGACAATGTTTCATTGATATATATAATATGCTTTGAAGACTAATATAAGTCATTTACACATGAAACACACATGAAACCTTTTTCATGACTATAGAGTGTAATGAATATTTGTTTTTTTTTACACCTGCAGCAACCCATGATTTCATCAATATATTTGATGAAATCTTCATAATTTGTTTCATTATTCATTATAGTTATCATTAAAATAATGATTTTAATAGTATAATTTCCTTATATATTGAAACGTTTCCTTTCTTCAATATTTATTTTATTTAATTTCCTTATATAATATGAATTAATAACTTCCATAATTACGAAATATGTGTACAAAATGTCATAAATACCCTTATTATTTAAATTTAATTGAAAACAAATGGAATTTTCTTATTGGTCGAATTTGGTTTACACGGTTTTTTAGAATTGGACGGTTCGCATTTGAACCTGCCCCTATATATATATAGGTGTATAGATTTTTAGCAAAATATAGTAAGTCAAACCCATTTTTTAATTTTCCAAGTCATTTTCTACTCCTTCATATAGCCATGTTTTTTTAAAATTTATCATTTTTATGGTAATATGGGATAATCTAAATCAAACCAACCACAACTTAACGTTTTAAGAATTCTCAAACTTGGTTCTGACACGTCTTTTATTTAAGATTTCAAGATAATATATATGTATCGAGATAAGATAAAATGTAAATGGTTAATTTGTATGTATTTTTATGTAATAGCCTTCTTTTTGAAAAAAAATGAGGGTTGTGATTAAAACATATTTAGCCAACTAAAATTTTGATCATTAAAATCATATATTATTTCTTATCGTTACCTTTATTCTCTAATCTTAGACCTCTCATTAGCGTGAAATGACTAAAATTATAACACAATGCAATATTTGAGAGTACTCAAATGTTACAATGTCATCTCATTATTTATGGTCGTTCTTATATATATATATATATATAAAGATTAATAATTTATAAAAATTAAATCGATTTATTATTCATGATGAATAATACACATTCATCATTATTCATGATGAATAATACGTGAATGCAAGGAATATATATATATATATATATATATATATATATATATATATATTAAAGAATGCCTCAAAATCCTAAATGTCCTTTTTCAAAACTCAAAACTGTCTCGTTTATCGAACGTCCTGTAAATATGCACAAGACATGTGACAACTAGACTCTAACCAACCCACAATCATAAATGTTGTAGAATTTAATAATTTCGTTAAAACCAAATGAAATTATTTGAACTCAAAGCTCTTTTTAGAGTCTAGGTTATTAGGTTGACCAAATTTGACTCAAGTGTTCCGGTCTTAATATAAATATTTTTATTATACGCCAATTGAGGCATAGAAAAATTCCGGTGATGAACGAGTTCTAATTCCACCATATTCTATTCTACAAACCACACCCCCCTTATCGTTAAGACAATTCAAGTTTCATCAGTGACCGAGTGTGTTCTAGTTACAACCCAACCTTAACCTATATAGTTCCTTCTTTCAGGGTTTAGGCTCAACATAGTCGTAGAGTTTCCAAATAATTACAACAATCTTTGTGATAAATATGGTTATGAGTCTTGCTTTAACAAAATACACAGATATAAGCATGCAATTCAAA